CCGTATAAATTTTGGAATCAACTAGTTAAATACACACACCTGATAGAAATATTTTTGGAATTGCATTGAATCTATAGATTGGGGAGAATCGAATCTTTACAATATTGACTCATCCAACCCATGAAAAGAGACCCATCCAACCCATGAAAAGAGATATTCTCTCATTCAGTTAGGTCTCCTTCCATTTCTCTTTACAATGTTTTCTTATTTTCTGTGTAGAAAGCTTGCATATTTTTGATGAGATTTATTCCTACATACTTGATATGTTGTGGTTATTGAAATGATATCCCTTTAAAGTGTTTATTTTCTAAATGTTGATTTAAATGCAGTTCATTTTATTTATCAATCTTGTAATTCGCAACTTGACTAAACTCACTTTTTATTTTTTTGAGATAGGGTCTCATTCTGTCACCCAGGCTGGAGTGCAGTGACACGATCATGGCTTACTGCAGCTTCAACCTCCCTGGGCTCAGGAAATCCTCCCACATCAGCCTCCCAAGTAGCTAGGACTCCAGGCAGGTGCCACCACGCCCAGCTAATTTTTTGATTTTTTTGTACAGACAGGGTTTTGCCATGTTGTCGAGTTTGTTCTCAAACTCCTGGGCTCAAGTGATCTGCCAGCCTCAGCCTCCGCCTCCCAAAATGCTAGGATTACAGGCCTGAGCCACAGCACCCAGCCTAAACTCACTTATTAGTTCTACTAAATTATCTATAGATTCTTTTGGATTTTATAGGACATGATTATATCATGTGAAAATAATAAATTGTATTTTTTCCTTTTCAGTCATGTTTTTCCCCTACCACTGGCTAGAACCTTCAGTACAGTGTAGAATTAGAAGTGGCAATAGCAGCCATCAATGTACACTTCTATTCTCAAAGGAAAAGCTTTTAGCGTCTCTCCAATTGCTTTAGGAGCGTGTGTGTGTGTGTGTGTGTGTGTGTGTGTGTGTGTGTGTGTGTTAGCTACCATTTATCAGATTAAGAAATTCCTCAGGCCAGGCGCGGTAGCTCACGCCTGTAATCCCAGCACTTTGGGAGGCTGAGGGGAGCGGATCACGGGGTCAGGAGATCAAGACCATCCTGGCTAACACGGTGAAACTCCGTCTCTACTGAAAATACGAAAAATTAGCCGGGTGTGGTGGTGGGCGCCTGTGGTCCCAGCTACTCGGGAGGCTGAGGCAGGAGAATAGCGTGAACCCGGGAGGCGGAGCTTGCAGTGAGCCTGGATCGCGCCACTGCACTCCAGCCTGGGCGACAGATCGAGACTCCAGCTCAAAAAAAAAGAAAAAGAAATTCCTCAGCCAGGCGCCATGGCTTATGCCTGTAATCCCAGCACTTTGGGAGGCCCAGTGGGGCCGATCACTTCCGACCAGCCTGGGCAACAGGATGAAACCCCGTCTCTAACCCCGTCTCTACGAAAAAATAAAAACAACCAGGTGTGGTGGTGCATGCCTGTAATACCGGCTATTCCAGAGGAGCTTGAACTCAGGAGGCAGAGGTTGCAGTCAGCCAAGATCGCACCACTGCGCTCCAGCCTAGGTGACAGAGTGAGACATTTGCTCAAAAAAAAAAAAAAAAAAAAAAAAAGAAAAAGAAAAAAGAAAAAGAAAAGAAAAAACAATGTCTTTAGTTTGCTGAGAGGGTTTTTTGTTTTTTTTTTAATCATGAATGGATGTTGAATTTTTCCAGATTTTTCTGAATCTTTGAGATGATAATTTTTCCCATTTATCTGATAAATAAATATGGTTGATTACATGATTAAGTGGTAAACCAACATATTTCTGGAATAAATATAATTGAGTTTTGCTATACTATTTTATTAATTATTAAAATATTTTATTATTAAATTCCTGGATTCTATTTGTTAATATTTTGTTTAGGATTTTCAAATTCATGTCATCAGTGTGATTGGTTATAATTTTCCTTTCTCATAGTTTTTTCAAATCTTGGCTTCATGAAATGAGTTAGATTTCATTTTCTCAGTTTTTATTCCCTGGATGAATTTATGCATGCTAATTTTTTTTCTTCTTAAGTGTACAGTGAAATTCACCAGTGAAGCTACATTGGTCTAGAGTTTTCTCTGGGGAGAAGTTTTTAAATTATGGCTCAGTTTCATATATAGAATTTTTTTTTTTTTTTGAGACAGGCTCGCTCAGTCGCCCAGGCTGGAGTGCAGTGGCGTGATCTCAGCTCACTGCAAGCTCCGCCTCCTGGGTTTACGCCATTCTCTGGCCTCAGCCTCCCAAGTAGCTGGGACTATAGGCGCCCGCCACCACGCCTGGCTAGTTTTTTGTATTTTTAGTAGAGATGGGGTTTCACTGTGTTAGCCAGGATGGTATGGATCTGCTGACCTCGTGATCCGCCCGCCTCGGCCTCCCAAAATGCTGGGATTACAGGCATAAGCCACCGCGCCTGGCCTATAGAATTTTTTATAATTTTATTTCCTTAGCCCGTTTTCGTAGGTTATAGTTTTTCCAGCATTTGTCCATTTAATCTACGTTTGCGAATGTCTTGGCATCAAATTATTCACAATATCATTTTATCATTTTAATGTCTACAGAGGCATTCCCTTTTTATTCCTTGCGTTACTTTCTTGGTGCCTTCTCCCTTTTTTTCTTTTGATTAGTCTCACCAGGGAATTATCAATTTTACTAGTCTTTTAAAAGTAACAGATTTTTGGCCTTACTGATGGTCTCTATTATTTATTTTTTATTTCATCAATTAGTATTATATTAGTATTTTCTTCTGTATTCCTTGGGTTAATTTGTTCTTTTCCTGACTTCTTAAGATGAATAATTCTTAGAGTGTCGACCACTCTGTTTTCTATTTAGCATTTACAGCTACACATTTTCTTCTAAGAATTGCTTTAGCTTCATCTCACAAATTTTCATATGTAATATTTTCATTTTACTGGGTTCAAATTATTTTCCAGTTTTCACTGTGCTTGGTGTTTTGTTTTGACCCATGAGTTATGTGGAAGCATACTTCCTTATTTCCAAACATAGGAGACTTTTGTATTTATCTTTAAGTTTTTTATTTCTGAGGCCAGGCGCAGTAGCTCACATCTGTAATCCCAGCAATTTGGGAGGCTGAAGAGGTGGTTTACCTGAGGTCAGGAGTTCGAGACCAGCCTGACCAACATGGAGAAACCTCGTCTTTACTAAAAATACAAAAATTTGTAGGTTTGGTCACTTCACATAATCTCATATTTCTCAAAGACTTTCTTCACTTTTTAAAAATATTTTTTCTTTATTTTTGTTTGACTGCATTAGTTCAAAAGACCAGTCTTCAAGCTCTGAGATTATGTCCTCTACTTGGTCCAGTCTGTTGGTAAATCTTTCCATTGTATTTTGAAATCCTTAAGTGAGTTTTTTTATTTCCAGAAGTTCTGATTGATTTCTTTTTAAGATGTTTATCTCTTCCTTCATTTGCTGAATTGATTTAGAAGTTTCTTTTGGTGATTTCAACCTTGAATCTCATTGAGCTTCCTTGGAACCCATGCTTTGAATTCTTTATTGTCGTTTCTGAGTTTTCATTTTGGTAGAAAGCATTGCCAGAGAGCTAGTGTGATCCTTTGGTGGTGTCACTACATGCAGGTTTTTCATGGTATCAGAATTCTTGCACTGCTGCTTCTCATCTGGAGATGCTAGCACTTCTAATTTTTCTAATTGTTTTTATGTGGGTAGGATTTTTCTTTTTCTTTTCTTTCCTGTATTATTATTATTATTATTATTTTCTTCTTTCCCTTTCCTTCCTTCCTAGGTGATGTGACTGTAGAGCAATGCTAGGTAGGTCTTTCAGCGTTGCTTCTGTATGCACTTCTATCAGCAGGTTTTATATTGGGTATGTGGTTTGACCTAGAAGCCAGTAGATGGCGCCAATGGGTAAGAGCTGGCTGTGGCCAGTGGTGCTGGCTATATACTTGATTCTTGTTTATTGGGAGGAACTCTCTTGTTGCCTTAGGCAATGAGCTGATTCCTAGAGAATACATTAATCTGAGCTCCCTCCTAAACCCTAGCAGAACGGGGGTTAGGTCGGGTTGGGGGGGGAAGATGGGTGGAGCCAGATGGGGAAGGTTCCCCAGTGTTGTCCTGCTCTCAGTCCAGGTTTGGGAAAATGCCTGCAGCTTTTCCTTGTGTCTTTCCCTCACAAAGTCTCCAAGTCTCTCGTTAAATTAGCTCCAAGACTTGGGAGAAACAGTGCTCTTCCTGGGTCCGGGTTGCTTGGATCCCCAGTGGAAAGAGGGATGCTGTCTGCCTCTCTCACATACTGAGGCTTCATTCACTTTTGTCAGTCGAATGTTGTCACAAGACCTGTTTGCCTGCATTGTCCTCCCAAGGATCTGGAGTGTCCTTCATAATTCCAGGGAGTTGTCGTTTCTTTCTTGAGTTAAAGCTTACAGAGTTGATCTTTATATACTATCTTGCTATTTCCAAATGACCGAGGCTTGCTAAAAGCCTGTAATCTGCCATCTTGGAAAAAAAGCATCCTTGCATTCTTAAGAGAAATGGCACTTGGTATTGATACGTGGTGCTTCTACATTGCTGAATTCACTTTGAAAAAATATATATATTTTTGTATCTACATTTATATGTGAGACTGGTGTAAAGTAATCATCTACTGTATTTATGCAGTTTTAGAACCAGCTATATTAGTGTTACTAAATGAGTTAAGAATTTTTCTTTTTTACTATTTTCCAAAAGAATTTATATAAGACATGAATTATTGCTTTCGAATAGATTTAGTAAAAATCTCATCTTGTTCTTTCGTGGAGAGGTAGTGAGAAATATTTTTACCGTACATGTAATTTATTTTCCACCTGTGGGGCAGAGATTGCAGTGAGCTGAGATTGCGCCACTGCACTGCAACCTGGGTGACACAGCGAGACACTGTCCCCCCAAAAAAAGAAAGAAAATCAACTTAAAATGAACCCGTTGAATATTTCTGAGTGTATTTTTACACCAAGCATGTCCCTTGAACTAACTTCTTTTCTTTTCTAGGAAGAACTGGAACTATGGTTTGTGCCTGCCTGATTGCCACTGAAATATTTTTAACTGCAGAGGTATGAAAGATGTTACCACAGACTTTGTCTTATGATGACTGAGTTTGCTAGTTCTGAAACATCAGTGGTAGGATGTTAAGATGATTATTTTAGTCATGGTGCTCAGTGAAATTGTAATTGGAGAAGTGGTTGTTAAAAAGTCTGTTTTTGATACTTCCTTGTTTAACATGCATTAGTTAGTAGCTGGCTTAAGAATCTCTTTGGGCCAGCAGTAGAGTGAGGTCAATGAGACGCAAAATTTAAGAGAATGCTAAAAATTGCAATAATTAAAATAAATGATTTTTAATGCAATATTTAAAAAATAAAAATTAATGCAAAAAATTATGAGGTACACAATATCAACATTTTAAATAAAGACAAGACCTGATGGGGCAGGATTAAGGTGAGGGGAGTAAAGCCATGTTACACAGATACAAAAAACATTCAGTAATCACAGTAGTTCCCTCACCTCACCTGGCCCTGCTCTTACTCCTGCCAGTACCATGACTTCTTCCTTCCTCATGAGAATAGTATCAAGCTGAATTAGATAAATCCTCCAAAGGGTCTTGACCATCCTCACAACGCTTAGGTAGATAAAAAGCAAGATTTCACAACTCAAAGCCTCTCCTGCATGTAACTATCTCTGCTTAGTCAACACATGTAGAATCTGTGACCTCTAGAAATTTCTGATAAGACAAGGTGGGCTGTTTCCACCTAAAGCAGTGTTCTCCGTCATTTTTCCTTCTGCCATTTTCTTGGTGAGATGCTACGATTTCCGGCAGCTCCACTCGAGTTGTTTGGCCTACAGTCTAGGGAAGAAGTGGTGGTTATGCACAATGACCAGCACTCTAATTCCACCACCTTTGGTTTTTCTAATTTGAGACACACAGATTTTGAAAACGGATGTTCTAGGATGGTGTTTTTCAAGCTATGGATCATGATTTATCAGTGAGTTGTAAAATAAAGTTGCTGGGTTGTGACTAACATCTCTTAAAAATAAAATGGAATTGGCCGGGCACGGTGGCTCACGCCTGTAATCCCAGCATTTTGGGAGGCCGAGGCGGATGGATCACCCAAGGTTGGGAGTTTGAGACTGGCCCGGCCAACATGGAGAAACCCTGTCTCTACTAAAAATACAAAATTAGCTGGGCGTTGTGGCGCATGCCTGTAATCCCAGATACTCAGGAGGCTGAGGCAGAAGAATTGCTTGAACCCAGGAGGCGGAGGTTATGGTGAGCTGAGATCGGGCCATAGCACTCCAGCCTGGGCAACAAGAGCGAAACTCTGTCTCAAAAAAAAAAACAAAAACTAAAACTAAAAATAAATAAAATGGAATAGAGCAGAATAGAAAATATCAAAAGGTTTAAGTATTTGTGTGTGTGTGTGTGTGTGTGTGTGTACATTTCCTAGGTTTATTAATGTGGATTGCAACTTAAAAAATGAAAAGTTTGAAAGCCACTGATATGGAGCCCTAGACTGAGAACCAGAGACTTGTATTCCAGGTCTGTGCTGCCTCTAACTGGCTGCAGCATCTCCATGGCAGATTGTGCAGTTTTCTTTTGGTCTCGGTCTTCTCATTTGTAAGATGGAAAGAAGGGTTGGACCAGATGATTTCTAAGGTCTTTCCAGCTCTAAAATTTTATGTCTTTACGAAACCTTGAATGAGAGAAGTCTTTGACGTGACTTTGTTAATTTTGGTAATTTGGGTAGCCTTTGCCAAAAGACCACTGCGGCTGGGTGCATTGGCTCATGCCTGTAATCTCAGCACTTTGGGAGGCTAAGGCAGGCGGATCTCTTGAGTCAGGAGTTCGAGACCAGCCTGGCCAACATGGCAAAGCCCCCATCTCTACTAAAAATACAAAAAATTCGCCATTTATGTGGTACACGCCTGTAGTCTCAGCTACTGAGTAGGCTGAGGCAGGATTATCCTGCCTCAGAGGCAGGATTGAACCCAAGAGGCAGAGGTTGCAGTGAGGTGAGATTCTGCCACTACACTCCAGTGTGGGTGACAGAGCAAGACTCCATGAAAAAAAAAAAATCACTGGCTTTAGGAAAGAAGGTGGTTTTAGAAAGACTAAGGGTACCTAATATAGAAAAGGAAAGAGTGCAGGTGAACCATGGTTCCTTTTTTGTAGGAAAGCTTGTACTATTTTGGAGAACGGCGAACAGATAAAACCAATGGCACTAAATATCAGGGAGTAGAGACTCCTTCTCAGGTAAGTTTTCTTTTTAAGAAGGGGAGCTTTTATAGGGGAGTGGGTTAAGATTGCCACCTGTTATTTGGTTTCATTTTAGACTCTTCTCCTTTGGTGATCGGGCAGCAGCATTTGGGCGCCCTGCGACAGGCCTTGGTCCCTCCCTGAGGCTGAAGGTCATGCTTCAGGTGCCACCCACACGTTGGGGGGTGTGGCTTTTCCTCAGAGCATCCTGCTTTCTATTCTATACTGGTTATTGTTTATGGAGCTCAGGAGTTGATTATTTTCCCAAAGCAGGAAGGTCCAATACCTAAGGCTCCAGGACCCTGAAGTTTATCTAAAATCACCAGCCTTTGATTTCAATGTAAAAAAGATCTAAGTCTTCCACAAATCCTTACTAGGGCAATTCAACCCTTGCAGAACATCACAAAGACTGTTTTTGGATGACTCCCCTGTGTGTGTGTGCGTGTGTGTGTGTGTGTGTGTGTGTGTTGTGGGGGAGGTGTATTTTAAAAGAGAAAGAAAAGGGGAAATAAACTTTTCAAAAACCCTTTTATATATACCAGACAGTACCGCACTTTTACATATCTCACTGAAAACCCATAACACCTATATGAAACATACAGTTACTCTGTTTTTTAAAAAAAATAATTTCGTTATGGAAAATTTTAATTATATACAAAAGTCCAGAGAATCATACAATATATCTCCGTATAGTCATCACTTCACTGCAATAATCACTTCAGCCTGCAATCAGCCACGTTTCATCCATACTTTTCCCACTCTACTCACACTCCCAACTCCACTTTCCACTCTTGCTTTCCCTACACCTGGATTATTTGGAAGGAAATTTCAGTTGTCAGATCATTTTATCCCACAAGTATTTTAATATGACATCTAAGTACTCTTAAAATAACAAAAAACCCATAATACCTTTTATCACATCTAAAATATTACACCTTAAAAAATCCTTAATATCAAATTTCTAGTCCATGTTTGTTTCCAAAATTGTCTTAAAATCTTTGAAAATTTAGTTTGTTTCAGTCAGAATTCAAACAACATCCACACATTTCATTTGGCTGCTATGTCTCCTAAGTCTCTTTTACTTCATAGATTTATTGCCATTTTTTATTACTTGTAATTTGTTTACTGCAGAAACCAGAATGTTTAGCCTATAGCATTTACAACATTCTAGTGTCTGCTGAACCATTCTAAGAGTTTTAAATTCACTATCTCATTTAATATTCTCAGTAACTCTATGAGTAGGCACTACTATGATTCTCATCTTATAAATTAGAAAATTGAGGTTCAGAGAAATTAACTAAATTAACTTTTGAACCAAGGACTGAAATCTAGATGTCAGACTCTGAAGCCCATGCTGTGCACAGCTTCTCATTTATATTGCCTTTTCTATACTGCCCCTGAAACCGAAGTGAGAGTGGGTTGGGAATTCTTAACTAGATTTGGATGTGGCTGTAAATGAGTTTTTCTTTAGGTAGTGGGAATTGAATAAGTGCTCTTGGCCCTGTTAGAAGAACGTTGTAACTACTGACCCTGTTTAGTTTGGGCAAAAGAACTCAGCCTGGCCGGGCGCGGTGGCTCAAGCCTGTAATCCCAGCACTTTGGGAGGCCGAGACGGGTGGATCACGAGGTCAGGAGATCAAGACCATCCTGGCTAACACGGTGAAACCTTGTCTCTACTAAAAAATAGAAAAAACTAGCCGGGCGAGGTGGCGGGCGCCTATAGTCCCAGCTACTCGGGAGGCTGAGGCAGGAGAATGGCGTGACCCTGGGAGGCAGAGCTTGCAGTGAGCTGAGATCCGGCCACTGCACTCCAGCCTGGGCGACACAGTGAGACTCCGTCTCAAAAAAAAAAAAAAAAAAAAGAACTCAGCCTTATCCACTGATACTTTTCTCCCACTCCCAAGCCAAAAACAAAACCAAACAAAGAACAGTCATAGACCCTAAGCTAAAAGGAATGTGTGGATTTTCTGAAGTGCAGCCCTAATCATGCCATTTCCATGCTCAAAATCCAGAATATGTCCCCACTGCCAATAGCAATAAACTAAATGTTTCAACCTGGCACTCAGGATCCAGTTTGACTTTTCCAACCTTTTCTTCCACTCTGTGCATGCACACATCCCACACTCTAACACATTTAGACTGTGTGCTGTTTCCCAGCCCATGGACACTTGATTCCCTCGTGCCATTGCTCATGCCCCTTTTCCTAGAGTCATTTTCCCTTCCCAGCCTCAAGTAGTTTCTTGCTTTTTCAGTTCTTAAAGCCCTTTGTGTTTCTCTTAGGGACTACATCACTTTGCATTATTCTCTAGCTATTTGAAGTGGTAACTTCTGTATCCTCTTTAAAGGCAAGGCCCATGGCTTACCCATCTTTCCACCCTTTCCTCATAATATCTTCTTTGTTTGTAGTGAGTGCCTCCTATGGGTTGGTTGTATTAATTTCTACTACCAGTCCATGTTGTTTTAAGTTGCAGGAGAAAGAAGCATGGGAGCAAAAGGAGCTTGAGGGCCCTGGCAGGTTACAGCCTTTAGGGGAAGGTGGAGAATCTGGTGGCAGGAGCCAAGGAGATGTTAGATGGAGCTCCCCCAACAACTCTCCCCACACATCTCCCCATCCGCACCTCTTCTGTAGTCATGTGTAGTGTCTCGAACTTTAGTCCAGAACTAGCACACCAAAGGCTGCAACTGAATCTCTTCTGATTCACTGACAGGGCAACACAGGGTCTCAGCTGCATGTTTGAGAGCTGTGTTGGCAAGACCTCAGGACAGAGTGCCCTATGTGTCTGGTGGTGATTCTCAGACACCATCACATTCTGATCCTGCATTGTGGGCCATTCTACTGACTACATCTACTCCTAAGTTAAGAACTTTCATGAGCCTTCCTCATGACTGGCCCTTTCTAAAGGAAAGTATGGCAGTTTGTGACTTCTATGAACAGTTCTCAATGGGTATGGAAGAGTCCATGAACTTTTTTTTTTTTTTTTTTTTTTTTTGGAGACAGAATCTCAGTCTGTCACCCCAACTGAAGTGCAGTGGTGCAATCTCAGCTCACTGCAACCTCGAACTCCTGGGTTCAAGCAATTCTCCTGCCTCATACTCCCGAGTAGCTGGGATTACAGGTGCCCACCACTACGCATGGCTACTTTTTGTAGTTTTAGTAGAGACAGGGTTTCACCCTGTTGGCCAGGCTGGTCTTGAACCCCTGACCTTAAGTGATCTGCCCACCTTGGTCTCCCAAAGTGCTGGGATCACAGGTGTGAGCCACCAGCCTGGCCAACTTTTGAGTTCTGAACCAGTTGATTCAGTACCAAAGGTCTTCAACCCCTTGAAGATAGATTCAAGGACAGCCATTGTGAACAGCTTGCCCTAGGGAAAGGACAAGGCTAAGGGAATTCCAGGGCTTCCTTGTGAAAACAGAATTGGGGAAGTGGAAAGTGAAGAAATTCTAGCTGTCAGGAACAAAAGAAGAATGACAGGAAACCTGCTTCTGAGGTATGGAGGTGTTCCCCTTGAGTTTTCACATATACCATTCTCTCATGCCCAGGAACCTGCTCTTCACTAAACCACAAACCTTCCTCTAACTCAGTCACAACTAAGCTTCTATCTGCACACTGCTAATGCTGTAACTGTTTTGTTGTTGGTTCTGATTAGTTGCCCTCTCAACCATAAGCAGCCTGTCAACAAGACCCGGCTCCATCCTTGTTACTTCCCCATCGCACTTAATTCAGTATTTTCCCCCCAAGGTAGATAGTGGTGAGGCAGCATCCCTCAAAATGTCTAGTAATATAATGGCATCCAGTAAATGTTTCCTTAATTATTTACTGCCCCTAACCTTTATGCAATTTAAAAAAAAAGAAAGAAAGAAAAGAAAAAATAAGAATGCTGACTTTAGACTTTTCATCTCCACTTAAAGTAAGGCTTCTGTTGCTTTTCAGAATAGATATGTTGGATATTTTGCACAAGTGAAACATAGCTACAACTGGAATCTCCCTCCAAGAAAGACACTGTTTATAAAAAGATTCGTTATTTATTCGATTCATGGTAAGTGTTTATGTAAAATTGAAGAATTGGGCAGGAGGGCCAAGGTTCCCACTCTGGGAGGGTTTTGCTCATTGTTATATATACAGATGATCCTAACTCATACCCGTCTTTTTACATATCCTCATGCATAAATTCCTTCTTAATTGCCCATTGATTGCCAGCCCTTAGATGTTCTTCACTTTTTCTTTTCCATCACCAATTTGGGGGACTTCATCACCTTCCCATCTCTCCTGTTCTCTTTGCTTCTCTGTTCGCAACCCAGAGTGGACTTTTCAGGGCAGAGTGAGCTTCTGATGAGGGAGGAGGAGGACCCCTGTGCCTTCAAGACTGGTTATTTCTCATAACCACCTCTAGTTCAGAGTTTGTCTTGGCGGAGGTGTCTCCATATCATATCATTTTCTCACCTTCTTTCAGAGGCATATTTTTTTCTCATCCCCCGGGCTCTCTCTTTTCCCTTCTGTCCTCCATCTGTAACCCTCTCACTCCCAGCCACTCCCATACCTTGTGGCTCTCACTCCCAGCCACAGAGCTGGGGGTCAAGATAAGCCTCCTAAGAGGAGCACTTAGGTCCTCCTTGCCTGAATCTACATGGAAATGGAAAGGGTTGGGAGAAAGTGGGGCTCTATGGAGGTATCTTTCACCCCCCTAGCTGTTACCGAGTATTACCAGTTGTAAAAATCCATATAAACATCATGAGAGCTATTTGCCTGCTTCCAGAATGTAAGCAGAGAGATAAAGCTGGGATGCACTGTTGCCCAGGGAGGCAGGGAAATTGGTCAGATGTACACCTCTGGGACTTGAGAAAGAAAGTGCAGAGAGAAACTGGCCCCCATTTCCATGTCCATTTCTCCATCACCAACCTTGCTTCCCCTGCACAGCTTACACTCAGTAGAGGTGGGAAAGCAGGATGTGTCTGTGTGGAGGGGATGGGGTCTCACCACTCCCACTGCCAGAGAGGTAGCAGGGTGGCGATGCATCTGAACCCCTAAAGCAAACCTCTTATAACAGCCAGCATGTGGACCTGAGGTGGTGCCAGTGCTGGGCATTACAGGTGCCATGGTGCCGGGGTGCTGGTGTCCACACAGACAGCCTAGTATTTTTAGCCTCCTGAGTTTTGTTCTACATTTCACTGATTTCTGGTGGACATCAATAGAAAGAAGTTCTGCACCTGGAATGGAAAAGAGGGAACTGAGGCAAGAAACTGTGATTTCTAATGACAAATGAATATCATGGTGTTAGTGAAAACAAAATTAAATGAAAAGAAGACAAACGGCATAGGAGATGATCAATCAAGAATAATTAATACACTCGTTTATTAGAATATTTAATTCTGTACTTTTAGTTTTGTGCATATTTAAATTAAAAATAATGTAGAGTTGAGAGGAAAGCAATAAAAAATTAATTGGAGCCTGAGAAACAGTCTTTGAGGAAATGCTAAGGAAGTGAGTAGGTCATTTGAATTGAAAAAAAAAAAAAAAAAGGGCAAAAGAGCCTTTTTCTGTAAATATATACAGAATACCATGGGAATTTGATATAACCTGTGTTTTTATAGAGATTGCATCAGGAACTAGACTTAAAGTAGGGCCAAAGTAATTTAGACCAAAGCATTTCTTATTAAGAATCATTATGATTAGAAGTTTGAAGAAAGCAAGACATTAGCAAGAAAGGTGTCAAGTCACCTTCCCATATATATATGAGACAGAGTCTTGCTCTAAGTCTCACTCTGTGGTCCAGGCTGGAGTGCAGTGGTGCGATCTCGACTCACTTCAACCTCCACCTCCCAGGTTCAAGCGATTCTCCTGCCTCAGCCTCCCAAGTAGCTGGGACTACAGGCATGCGCCACCACACTGGGCTAATTTTTGTGTATTTTTAGTAGAGACAGAGTTTCACCATGTTGATCAGGCTGGTCTCGAACTCCTGACCTCAAATGATCCACCTGCCTAGCCTCCCAAAGTGTTAGGATTACAGGCATGAGCCACCGTGCCCAGCTAATTTTTTCTCTTTTTAATCCATGATGTTAATTGGCAAGACATTTTAATCTTTGCGCTAACCAGCCTAACTTTTTAATTTCATTTAGGTGTTGGAACAGGCGATGGATATGATCTAAAAGTCCAAATAGTAATGAAGAAAAAGATTGTCTTTTCCTGTACTTCCTTAAACAATTGTCGGGTAAGAGAAAACATGTGAATTGAAAAAATCTGATGTTTGTTTTAAGGCTGAATGTCAAACCAGCAATGTTGACCTCCCTAAACTATCACTTACCATAAAGAGATTCCATGATGCTTTCTGGTTACCGTTGTTGTGTCACTGGATTTGAATGTAAACCAGAGGTAAATTAACCTGTTTGTTCAAAACAGTTTTTTTAGGGTACTTTCCAGAATGTATTTCTGTTCAGTGTTGCTTTGCCTTTCACTTTTCCACAAATGCTGAGCATGTTCCCAGGAATGTATTAAGGATTTTAATTTACATATCTGGTCATTTTTAGCCATATTCTCTTCTTCTCAGTCATTTTATCTTTTATTATATAGCACTGATTCTAAAATGTTAGTGTGCATGAAAACCACTGAGAAGCTTGTAAAGATTTACATTCCTGGGTTGTACCCTAAAGTAAGATTCAGGAAATCTGGAATGGGGGCCAGGAATCTATAGACTTAGCAGTGTCCCAAGTGATTGTTCTAAGTCAGAGGTTCTGTGGGGTTGACCCTATGAGAAACAATGCAAGGAGGAATGAATTGGGGAGGAATCTCTTTATCCAAAGCAAAAGGGACCTGGTAGTCAATGTTTTGCTACAATGAAGAAATGCCTAAACTACATACCTTTTCTGAAACAATAAGAAAGCTTCCTTCATGGGTCTCATAACCATAAACTTTTAGAATTGCTACCCAGGCCTTTGTCTCAAATTCTTTTATTACTAATCCTATTCCCTCACTCTCTGCACTGCACCCACTTTCTTTGGCCTCTCCCAACTGAGGGCATTCACCCAGGCCTTATCCTTGGCTTCCTGTTCTTAGCAAATGCTTTATTCTTGGTTAAAGAATCACCCATTTCCCTTACTTAAACTATTATTTGTTCATTTACTGAAGAGATATTTATAGTCGCCCACTGAGTTGTAGATGCAAGAGCTGCAACACGAACAGTTTCCACTCCAACTGAAATGCAGTAGCCAGTCTGAATTATCAAGGAGCTTTATCTGCTTCTGCAAATGGCACCAGCATTCTCCCACTCAGGCTTTGGGCTTTGATTCTCTTTGCCTTGGCTCCCTAAATCCAGTTAGGCATCAATCCCTGTTGGTGATGCCTTTGAAATTTTTCTATGCTCGCCTTCCTTTCTGTTCTCACTGCCACTAACTGTCCGGAACCTCATTTGCTCATGCCTAGATTTCTACAATGGTCTCCCTGCCTTTTCTTGCTCCTTATAGAATGCGATGTATGGAATCCTGAAACATGCGTACTGAAATGTTGCTCTCATTGTGAAAAGTATGTAGAGCAGAAGACACACTGCATGCCCATGGTCAGAGCCAGTTAACACCTTTGGCTCAACATCCTTACCTGTAAAATAAATATCACACCTCAAGTATTACGGGAATTAAATTAGATAATATGTATGAAGTTGCTTTGTGAACTATAAATCACTAAATAAATGTTATATGTGATAATTATCAGGCCTCTTTGTCACATAGGAAATACCCCACGATATTCTTCAGCAGCTTCACTCTTACTTCCTTGGCTCTTGAGCTCTTAAGATATAATAGACCTAACATACCTGAGCTTATTTTTATCAGTAGCTTGACCAGCAGACTCCATTCCAAATAAACTGGGTCATCCCCTTTGGCTCTTGGAACACAACTCTAAGTTATTTAGTTAGTTAGTTGGTTATTTCTTTCCTTCTTTCCTTCCTTCCTTTCTTTTTCTTTCCTTGAGTCAGGGTCCCATTCTGTCCGAGGCTGTAGTGCAGTGGCGCGATCAAGGCTCCCTGGAGCCTCAACTTCCCGAGCTCAAGCAATCCCCCAATTTTTTAAAATTTTTTGTAGAAGCTGGATCTTGCTATGTTACCCAGGGTGGTCTCAAACTCTTGAGCTCAAGCAACCCTTCCACCTCAGCCTCACAAAGTGCTGGGATTATAGGCATGAGCCACACTGCCTGACCTTTTTTGTTGTTTTTGTAACTTCTACTTTGCGTTATTGCTGGTCTTTTTCCATCTGTATGGACTAGATTCTATTTTCAGAGCTCTTCTTCATTTATCTAAACCGTTTCATGCCCAATTCAATTTCTGCCTCCTCAATGAAATTTTCTGCACTTCCTGTTAACTAGCCCTCAATGGTACATGAGAGCACACCCAGTCTTCATCATACAGATTGAGAGTTACATACTATTCTACGATTGTTTCTTATGTGTACAGCTCCCTGAAGGGACCAAAAGAGTCTGCACCTTCTTTTGTGTTTTTCACAGGGCCTAGCATAGACCCTTCTTACTGTGGGTGCCATTATTTATATGAGAGTGAGTCAAAGAAATAGTATATCTTCAAAGTCATTCATTCCAAAACGCGAACTATCTTTGGTCACTCCTCCATCTGCAGCCTGTAATGGTCAAGTCCAAAGATCCCACTGACAGACACAAGAGTTCTAATAAAACATGATGATCAGGGGGACCCCACCCCCCCAAGTGTTACAGACCCCCGTTGTTACTTTTTTAATTTAGTAAATAAAAAGCCAGAGTTAAGCATTATTTTTTGAATGTCGAGGGTAGCTTTAAAATTGAGCTTCTTAACATATTGTCAAAAGAGGTCCTAATGTATGAAAATCAAATGACACACATTAAATAATAATATTTAACTGATTAAAGTCTAATAGAAAATTCATTACTTCTGAAAAGTGAGACACTTTTGAAAAGTGCCTCATGGTAACCCTCAAACATGTTGGCCTTTAAAAATCATAAACAACAGGCCAGGTGTGGTGGCTTGCCTCTGTAATCCCAGCACTTTGGGAGGCCCAGGTGGGCAGATCACTTGAGGCCTGGAGTTTGGGACCAGCCTGGCCAATATAGCAAAACCCCATCTCTACTAAAAGTGCAAAAACTAGCTGGGTGTGGTGGCATGCGCCTATAGTCCCAGCTACTCAGGAGGATGAGGCATGAGAATCACTTGAACCTGGGAGACAGAGGTTGCAGTGAGCTGAGATCACACCACTGCACTCCAGCCTGGGTGACAGTAAGACCGTCTCAAAAAAAAAATATATATATATACACACACACACACACACACACACATACACACACATACACTACACACATACATATAAACAACAGTGTTGCAACTAGAAAAGATTATTAATAATGATTTATACATGTAGTGATTGGTCTGTGAGACCAAAAGTACTTGATAAATATAGGAAGTCTGGATAAGTGAAAAGGAACTTCATTGTTATCATTAGCTAGGTTTATAGTTCTGAATTCCATGTGTTCATTCACAGGTATTTCATGACACTGAAACAGACAGGGTAATAATTGATGTGTTCAACTGTCCACCTCTGTGTGATGATGTGAAAGTGCAAGTTTCCTCTTCGGTGAGTAATCAAGAAATGGCCTCTGCCATTGTTCTTGTCTGAACTTTTGAATGGTTTTAAGGTTTCCTTTACTACAGTTCCCAAAAAGGGAGATGATAAATGTCATCCCATAGAGGAAGGGGAAGAAAAACAATACATCAGATCTATAACAAATTTTTTAAAAGAACATATGTAATTTGAATAATTTTTGTTCATTTGTTTTTTCTAAATTGTACATTTTCTAAATGTTTCTAAATTTACATGTATTAATTCACAAATCCAAAAAATACAAAATAAATACAAAAAAAAATACAAGCCAAGATGCTAAAAAACCAAAGGTATGTTTTACTGCATAGCAGTGATTACATTTTGTTTTGCATCATTTTTAATATTAAAAATTGAGACAGAGTCTCACTCTGTCACCCAGGCTGGAGTGCAGTGGCGTGACCATAGCTAACTGTGGCTTCACCTCCTGGGCTCAAGCAATTCTCCCACCTCACCCTCCTGAGTAGCTGGGAGCACTGACTGGAAAGAGAGTTAGGTTTGGGTGACTCAGTTGGATGAAACACAGAGAAGGCAGCACAATACAACACATGAAATAACCGAAGCAGTTTTTTGTTAATTCTAAAGCGAAGAGGGCAGCACACCTCACAGGGCTAACTCCAAGGGGCAGCCATGCAGGAGACCTGTGCTCAACTGATGGGTAGGGAGCAAGAGCGAGAAAGAGGGAGGGACCTGAGAGTGGAAGCCTTTATTGGGAAGTAAGGTGTTACCAGAGCAGGTTTCCTGCGGGGAGGTCTAATCGGTGGGTTTATTGCAAGCAGTCATGAGTTCCATGGAGTCATGCTGTGACTGAGAGGTGGTCACTGATATATCCACACGGTCCATGCAGAGTATGGGGGTCTAGGGGTGGTTATATCTAGCTGTCCCGCAATGAAGTAGTCACCAGCAGAAGGTTGTATAAGGCAGATATTGGGATCAGTCACATTGAGAAACTGGGAGGAGGTGAACTGGAAACTGTCAAGGGTGACTGAGCCCTGCTTCTGATATCAGAAAGTGCAATTTATATTTAAAAGGGATGCTGAGGCAACAAAAAAAATTGTAAGAATTCACTACAAAATACTTGGGTATATATAAGCATCGGTCCTTAGTAGATTCTGTTTCGCACTATCTAAACCAGATTCAAATATCAGCATTTAAATATCTATCATGGAAAATACAGTATTCCTTGAAAATTTTGATGGAAACAGCAAGAGAAAGCAATAGCATTTTCTTAAGCCTCCTCCTTTGTGTCTTGAGTGTATTGTTATAGGATGAAGAATGCTACATATTGAATGGTTATAATTATTTGATAAATATATAAAGGAATAAAGGAAGAAACTTTAATTTCTTTGGAATGATTAGTTCTTGGCATCAATTTTACTTTAAAAAAAATTTTTTTTCTTTTTAGGATTTTCCTAAATACTATCACAACTACCCTTTTTTCTTCTGGTTTAACACATCTTTAATACAAAATAACAGGTATGGATATAATATCAACCCATAGAAACAACCTAATCTTCAATGTCTGTGTATAAGGTGTAATGGCAAGTCTTTTGCTGGTTGTCATAAGCTTAATTTATAGAAAACAAAAAATCCTTGAGCCACCTTAGTTCATTGCCTTACTCATTTTATGATTGTTATTTTAAAAATACAGTTGTTCTTGAGACTACCTGTTGCAGTGTCCTCAAGGTCCATGCCATAGGACTGTGTTATGAGTTCAAGAGTATTATAATCAGATCTTAAGTGTGGTAGTAAATTCCTCCCACAGAAGTTCAATATGAATCTGCTCAGTACCTTCAACATGTCAGGTCCTCAGTAGGTGCCGATTTACCAATGACGAACCACCACCAAATTTTGTGCTAAAGTAAGGGAGGACCTAGGGAGGCTTCAGCTAGCTGAAAAGCTGACTGACACACTTACATCTAGGAGAAGTTACAAGACACAATAAGTATTAAGAAATACAGCTAAAAAATCATCAATTGATAGTCTCCCATTTAAACACGGCTTTCTAATAACTGAATTGGGAAAACTTTCTTAAAAACTATTAATTGGAGGCTGGGCATGGTGGCTCATGCCTGTAATCCTAGCACTTTGGGAAGCTGAGGCGGGCAGATCACCTGAGATTGGGAGTTTGAGACCAGCCTGGCCAACATGGTAAAACCGTGTTGGCTACTAAAAATAACAAAAATTAGCCAGGTGTGGTGGCGCATGCCTGTAATCCCAGCTACTCGGGAGGCTGAGGCTGTAGAATTGCTTGAATCCAGGAAGCAGAGATTGCAGTGAGCCGAGGTCACACCACTGCACTCCAGCTTGGGTGACAGAGTGAGACTCTGTCTAAAAAAAAAAAAAAAAAAAAAGAAAAAACTATTAATTGGATTTGGAGATTATTGTTCCCAGAAAACCTTCTCCCATATTTGGAAACTTATTTCTCAGTCTAGAAGTTCTCCACTTTAAGTAGCATTTTTTCTGTGGTGGTGAAAAATTGAGATTTTTTTGTATCGACCATACTTTTCAATACAAAAAGAGAAAATATTTTTAAAATGCTTCAGGTCAGAGTTGAGGAAGTGGCTATGATTGCACGTGGCATGAATTGGTAGTTATTGTTATAACCAGTCCTAGTCTTTTCTTCAACTCTGAGCTGGATCTAATAACTCCTTAAGTCCAGCAAGGCAACGGTAAATTAAACCTCTGGTCTACACACTTGTAATGCATACACATTTAATAGTTTTTGATAGAGTGAACTTTGGACTGGAAATTTTTTACAGATTTGTTTCCTGGATGCATACAAACAATAAGCTTTGACTCCTAACATGAGCAGAGCCCCTCAAATGTGAGAGCTGGGTGGAGCTTCATTTGTTGCTGCTCCTCAAAAGTGATTCTTGCTAGAGGATACAGTTCTTTTCCTTTGAAACACCATGTTCATTTTGGAGAAGTAATAACTTAGATCACCTTTATTCTCACTTTTATATACATTTCTAAAGATTTCTGTAATATTTCAATTTATATACTATTGGTAAAGCTTTTTGTTCATTATGAGATTGTTGTTTAGCCAAAAATGCCAATTTCTGTCCTTTAGAACACTAGGCATAAATAGGTTAACTAATTTATGCTTAGTGTTCTATTATTGGAATGCTAAGCATGTAGGATTTATTTATATCCTACTGCTCAAGGTCATTGCCAAGGGCTGATTGCAAAAATTCAAAAAATTGCAACCTCAGGCATAAATTAAAATAGATATAGTACTTTATTATTGGGTTTTGATACATGTCTAATCAGACTGATTTCTGTCACATATAGAAATTTAGATATTTTATTAAACCTAGATGTCATTAATTCCATAAAAAGCAACGTTAAAAGAATCAGTAGCACGTGTTACTGAAGTGTTGCTGAAGATTAAGGTATTTTTAAGTCTCACTGAAAAGGTGGAAGGAGCCAACTGAGACACAGAAAACGGGCTAAGGTTCTATTCATGGTGAGGAAGTCTTTTTTTTGTTTGTTTCTTCAAGCTCTAACAAGGGTGCCTACTGCATGGCTTTTCAGTTAGCCCCAAAATAAAATGTAATAATTTGTTTTCTATTCTTAGGCTTTATCTACAAAGAAATGAATTGGATAATCTTCATAAACAAAAAACATGGAAAATGTATCAACCACAATATGCAGTAGAGACGTATTTTGATGAGAAATGACTTAGTTATTTTGTAACTGGTAGCTGATTAGGTATAGTTTCCCGCACCCCTTCTGGGAAAGAATTATGTTCTTTCCAACCCTGCCACATAGTTATATGTTCTAAATCTTCCTTGCTAGTACATCTATGTTGGTATTTGTTACACATGTTCTTTATAAATCTATTAAATATATACAGATAAAATGTCAGGGTTTTTTTTTTTTCTTTTTTGAAGGCATATATTTCACAGTTTCCATCTTGTATTTACATATATTTGGAACACAGTACTTAGGAACATTAGGCATTATTTTGAAGAACTTTGAAACAGAACTTTCATACCAAAATAATCGAGATATTTAAAAATTATGATCCCCCAACACCCACTTACTTATACATTTTTGGTCAAGTATTTATTCCCTGCTTTGTTTCACATTTGTAATTTCAGATTTATTAGAAAGCTAATTTATATTTTTTCTTCTACTTGATTTACAAACTATCTGTTAACAGATTGGCAGCAAAGACTAAGTTTTAAACCCAGAAGAGAGAAATATTTCACACAAGCAGTTCCCCAACTCCCAACACACACTATTCTCTTGTTCCAAGCACTAAGTGGGGAGCTTACTTAACAAGCTTCCTTTAATTACACACAGACATGGGGGTTGGGGTAAGAAGATGGTAGTAAATATGAAGGATAAGTAACCTTCAGTAACTTCTGCTTTTGTATAAAATTGTAAGTGAACTTAAAAGAAATATTTGTTCTTAGAGTAATTTAGGTGTATTATTTTGAAATCCACTACTCCTGCTCACAACCAATGTCACCTAAGCCCTGGGAGAACTCTGAAGGGACGTAATCTTTTCATTATAAACAGTGGTTAGCCCTGTGTCCACAGGGAATCATTATTATTTCCTCATTGGTGATGAATGGTACTTTTTTATTAAAAACTTTTTTTTTTTGAGACAGTCTAACTCTGTCACCCAGGCTGGAGGGCAGGGGCACAATCTCGGCTCACTGCAACCTCCACCTCCTGGGTTCAAGCGATTCTCCTATCTCAGTCTCCTGAGTAGCTAGGATTACAGGTGCATGCCACCCTGTCCAGCTAATTAAACGAAATTTTTTATTTGTATTTTTATTTTTTTGAGATGGGGTCTCACTCTGGTTGCTGAGACTGGAGTGCAGTAGTAGGATCTTGGCCCACTGCAGTCTCAACCTCCTGGGCTCAGGTGATTCTCTCACCTCAGCCTCCCCAGTAACTGAGACTATAGGTGCATGCCACCATGCTTGGCTAATTTTTGTATTTTTAATAGAGGCAGGGTTTCACCATGTTGGCCAGGCTGGTCTTGAACTCCTGACTTCCGGTGATCCACCCGTCTCAGCCTCCCAAAGTGCTGGAATTACAGGCATGTGCCACCGTGTCTGGCCACTTTTATACCGTTAGCAAAATGCAGAGTAGTGTCTGAACCAGATCTGAGGAGTTGAAGGGTCAGAAATACCTTTTTTTTTTTTTAAACAGAGTCTCTCTCTGTTGCCTAGGCTAGACTGAAGTGTTGCAATCTCGGCTCACTGCAACCTCCCTCTCCCAGATATAGGTGATTCTCCTGCCTCAGCTTCCCGAGTAGCTGGGATTACAGGTGCCTGCCACCATGCCAAGCTAATTTTTGTATTTTTAGTAGAGACGGGGTTTCACCGTGTTGGCCATGCTAATCTCGAACTCCTGACCTCAGGTGATCCACTCGCCTTGGCCTCCTAAAGTGCTGGAATTACAGGTGTGAACCACTGTGCCCAGCCTGGTGAAATAATTTCAATACAAATTCTAAACAGAAGAAAAGGATTGAACTGAAACCCCCCTACAACATCCCCAGAACCTATACTAGGGTTACTGTCATGATAACTGCCAGTGGTTAGTGTTTACCATCTCCCCCTGGACCCGAGAGGAGTTCTTAAAGCTTCATCAAAATGCAAAAGAAGGCTTACAAAAAATTTTTAAGAAATGCATATGGCTATCCAGTTTTCCCAACACCATTTATCAAATAGGGGATCTTTTCCCTATTGCTTTTTTGTGTCAGGTTTGTAAAAGATCAGATGGTTGTAGATGTGTGGTATTATTTCTGAGGACCCTGTTCAGCTCCATTGGTATGTGTATCTGTTTTGGTACCAGTATCATGCTGTTTTGTTTGCTGTAGCTTTGTAGTATAGTTTGAAGTCCGGTAATGTGATGCCTCCAGCTTTGTACTTCTTTCCCAGGATTGTCTTGTCTCTGTGGGCTCTTTTTAGGTTCCATATGAAGTTTAAAGTTGTTTTTTCCAATTCTGTGAAGAAAGTCAGTGGTAGCTTGATGGGGATAGCATTGAGTCTATAAATTACTTTGGGCAGTATGGCCATTTTCACGATATTGATTCTTCCTATCCATGAGCATGCAATGTTTTTCCATTTGTGTCCTCTCTTATTTCCTTGAGCAGTTGTTTGTAGTTCTGCTTGAAGAGGTCCTTCACATCCCTTGTGAGTTGTATTCCTAGGTATTTTATTCTCTTAGTAGTAATTGTGAATGGGAGTTCACTCATGATTTGACTCTCTGT